ACTATGGCTGCTGCATGGCAAACAGCTGCTCCAGATACAGCAGTTGAAGTGGCAGGATGAGAGGGAAGACCCACCTGTGTTTGCTGTGGATCATGAAAGCATTGCCATCCACCTTGGGTAGCCCACGTCCATCCCTCTTTCCTCCCCCCTTCCCTAATCTGCATTGCTCTTTTCTCCAGTGCTGGTATAGGCATAGGAGTTACTGCCTTGGAGTGGGGCTTTGTGCAGCAAGGAAGTTAATGGGTGGCAGAGATCAGGGGTAGGGAGTCTAGTGCTTGACTTTGTGCTCCGTGGTATGGCAGGCCATAGATCACACCATTAAGCACCTTTGAGCAAAGCCAGAATTATCTGGTTTTGTTTGGTTTGCTCTGTGATTATAGGAAGGGGGAAAGGCCCCCCCAGTGTCAGTTAAGGTAGTCAGGAAGGATTAAATCCCATTAATACTAATGGAACAATTGCAGTTAGCCATGGCTAACCGTAGCTGGATTAGAGAAGTTTCTGCTTGTTTTTTATGTTTATGTTTAGTTTGAAAAGTAGCCCCCAGAGCTCAAAGAGAGCCAGTGTGGTGTCCTGGTTAGCATGTTAACACAACAGTGGCCACAGGATTGAAAAAGGTCGGTTTATATTCCAATCCCAAAGAAGGGCAATGCCAAGGAATGTTCAAACTATCGCACAATTGCACTCGTTTCACACGCTAGCAAGGTCATGCTCAAGATCCTACAAGATAGGCTTCAGCAGTTCGTGGATAGAGAACTGCCAGAAGTACAAGCTGGGTTTTAAAGAGGTAGAGGAACTAGAGATCAAATTGCTAATATTCGCTGGATTATTGAGGAAGCAAAGGAGTACCAGAAAAACATCTACTTCTGCTTCATTGATTACGCTAAAGCCTTTGATTGTGTGGATCACAACAAACTATGGCAAGTCCTTAAAGAGATGGGAGTAACAGACCAACTCACGTGTCTCTTGAGAAACCTGTATAAGGGCCAAGAAGTGACAGTTAGAACCGGATATGGAACAACTGATTGGTTCAGCATAGAAAAAGGAGTACGGCAGGGATGTATATTGTCACATTGCTTATTTAATTTATATGTAGAGTACATCATACAAAATGGTGCCCTGGATGAATCACAAGCCAGAATTAAGATTGCTGGGGGGAAAATCAACAACCTCAGATATGCAGACAATCTATATATCTAATAGTGAAGGTGCCCCCTGGCATGCGAATACCTAAATCCGCGCATCGGGGGCACCTGGGGGGGGAGGGAGATTTTCGTGCACACTTGGGGCAGTCCCCAGGTGTGCACAAAAATCTGAAAAGTTAAAAAAAATATCAGGGGGATACTTAAATCCCCCCCAAAGTGACAGAGTGTCCTCTGCGCACGAGCAGGGAATGCTCTGAAGCCAGCCTCGCCGCCGCCACCTCGGAGCCGGGCGGGGGGGGGGCAGTGAGGCTTTGCAGCGGGGGGGAGCAGCGAAGCCCGGCG